TACATACCCTTTTCATTTGTTTACACACGCGGACCGTTTTAAATATTGCACCCGAGGTCGGCCATTGTCGCATGACAATTTTCCAGAAAATTGTTCATTCCTCCCGACCTTTTTTCGTGTCTGTCCCCTGGCCGCGTTTCTCGTTTTACGACTTCACGATTCGGGCCCGAATTTTTATTGCCATTGCTCGTTTCAACAATTTTGTTATATTGCCCTATATGTATTGACGCGCTGCGCGTAATATACCATGCGACGATTAACACAATTCAGTATCCGAAAAAACGATTCAAAAATTCAATACCAATTGTTTCACGCAACGTTTCAGGTAATTTTATTTTAAATAATTGTAAAAGTGAATCGATCAATCTGTTAGGATGAATTCTGACTGGCTATTATTCACTCAAATAAAAAATTAGCAAATCTATCTATTTTTAATCTAAATTGCAGCATTCCTTTAGGAAATGTGAATTACAATTAATTCGTGCATCGCGTGGAGTAGAGGTGGATTACAGGTGAAAGACGCCTCAACATGCGGCGCATTGCTCTTAATCGCGGCGTAACAAGATATTAAGTAGCATTAGGGAGGCCGACGTTAGTCAAAGTGTTTCTAAGCTCTGCCGAGCGCCACTTCAAACGAGACCGTAAGGGCATTATTCAACGACCGGACGAGGTAACCATATCGCGGTGCGAGGGAGGATACAGTCTAACCAAACTGCACTAGGAACTGTCCCAGAAACCATTGAGTAATTGTGTTACCAGCCAGAAGTTACTTTCAAGTCTTTGTATTCTGCTGTTGCGCTTGCGAAAGTGTTTGAAAGCTTATTATACAAGATTTTACATAGGCAACTTTTATATATCTCATTTAGACGAAAGCTGAAAGCACTAGTAAAGATTGTTTATCGAGCTGCTTTCCTGATTGCATTTCGTTCAATTTATTTAACGTGATGCATTAATTAAATTAAACAGAACCCCGTTGGCATCCGACGATATATTGAGACGAAACATATTTTAATTAAACAAATTACGGTTCGAACATTTTCACGGTAAAGAAAAAACGCGCGAACGTTCTTTAGCCGAAACAATGAGTTTCCATTACGCGAGTGATTAAAATTGGTTGAAGCATTTTCGTTCCATTACGTGGAAATAAACACATCAATCTCCCGCGTCTAACTAATAACCGAGGGTGTTGGGTAACGAGGGTCTCGCGGCGTCGGAACGTTCGAATAAAACTTCGATCCTTCCGTTTTGAAACTTTTCCGGCAGCCCGAACGAGCATTCCCTTTTCGCATAAACACCGAAGTTTGCTTATGAATAAATTTCCCAGTATCATCGTTCTTCGAGACACCCACGCCAGTAACTGCCTTATCTCCTCTAGTTTATCGCCGCCTTAATTTACTTACAATTAGTCCCCTTCGCCGAGATGAGGACGAGCTTATTCATTATTTCGTTTGCATCGTTAAATATCCTATCAACCATTGTATAATAACAACAGCGAATGTAATATCGAACGAATTATTGTATCTATTATTATTTGTATGAAACACTATACTAAATAATTAAGCCCCACAACAATTATTAGATGAAATAATATTAATTACAATGGATAAATTATTCTATGATAAGCGATTCTCTGTTCGTTTCGCAGGAATCACATTGGAAATTGAATGCCGAAAGAAATTATATTCTGATGAATTCCTAATGAGAACCCGATGGACATCGAAGGCGTCCAACAGACCCATCGAACCACGAAGTCTTAGTAAAAAAAAAACTGTTTAATAAACGAATTTCGATGGAAATTCCTGTACACGTGGAACGTTGTTCGAGCACTTCCGGCTTTTCGCGCCGCGTTTTTCGTCCCCGGGCCATTCATCACCGGGATCGTTCCGAGCTCTCCGTCCCAACCCCTTTCCCGTGACTTTACGGGAGTCGAGGGTTTGTCTCCGCGATCCTCTGGCGCCGTCTGATTAGCATACGCATCGATCCTTCGGACAGAGGGGCGGTTTTTGCGGCCGGGACATATTTTCGCCCGGGGAACATTAGGGCAACCAATCGGTGACGAAGCGTTTCTCGATAAGGTGAACACCGTTCGCTTATGGCTCTCCAAGTTGCTTCCATACCTTTTTTCAGTTTACGACGCCATTAAACGGTTTATCTGATCCATCTCATCCGTCTTATCTGACTTTTAATATACTTATTTAAAACATTTAATATTAAACGAAAGTGTAATTCGCTTTTTTACACGGTTTTTTATTTTAAGCTTGAAATTAAATATATATTATGTTCGCTGTTACTGCGAACGAATGCAGATGACTCAAACACGGAATTTAATTGGTGGGCCGATTCGAACGGGTCGCGCTCTTATTTCTTAGTTAAACCGCTTTGCGGCGATGGTTAATGAAGAAGAGGCGGATTTCCCTCGGGATTAAACGTCACGGCTGCCGGAAATGGATAGCGTCGTTTCCTATCCGACCGTGTACAATCCCTTACGGTTCGGCTCGTTCGCGCGTCTCTGTCTCGCGCCGATCGATCGATCCTCGCCCGGTAATGACGAATGACTAGGCTGTTTGTTTGCCAGGATAAAGATCGAACGTATCGAGTTACGATCCTTCTTCCCCGATTGCATTTGCAAGTGAATGCGACCGATGAGAATCAGAGAATGGCTTGCACTCTACGGCTGTGCACGACGTATCGTTGATCTTACTACTGGGAATTACTAGACGCAGTGAAATGAGTTAAAGGCTAATGAACTGGGTATTGAATCGCGATACCGATGATTCAGGATTTACATGACGGATGTAGCTTTTAGAAATATAAAACCTTTACTTCAATTTAAATTATGCTGTGATCACTTGTAATCTCTGCACGACATATCGTCGATCTTACTACTAGACGCAGTGGGATGAATAAAAAAATAATGAACTGGGTTTTCAATCCTAATGTTAATAATTGAAGATTTAGATGATAGACGTATTTTATACGAATTGGGAGTCATTACTTGAATTTGAATTATACTAAAGTAATTCGTAATCTATGCCTGTGTACGACATATCGTTGATCTTACTACTAGACGCAGTGAAATGAATAAAAAAATAATGAACTGGTTTTTGATTCCCAATGGTAATGATTGAAGATTTAGATGACAGACGTATTTTATAGGAATTGGGTATCATTACTTCAGTTTTAATTATAATGACATTTAATCTGTGCCTGTGTACGACATATCGTTGATCTTACTACTGAGAATCACTAGACGCAGTGAAATGAATAAAATAATCTGATTCAGTGAATATGGAATCATAATGATGATTTTTGAGAATTGAGAATCATCTTAATTTGTATTCCCTTTTAATGAAACAAATAAATGTTTCAATTTGTGGAGATAACGTACAGAGTTTTAGTGAACAAAATAAGTGGCAAATCAATATAAACAATGATTTGCATACATAACAATAATAATTACGAAAATGTCCACGTTATTCTAGTTATTTCAAATTTCAAAATGTACAAACTGATACAACACCCGAGGTGACCATATAAATTAATTAACACTCTCTGAGTGGTTTCGCTAATCAAACTCTGTGACGTTTATTCAATTTTCCGATTTGTTCGGAGTTCAGATAAAATATTTAGCTTTTTACTTACAAAGATCCCCAGAGATCAGGAAACGACATTGAATCCCCGCGTAACGAAAGTAATTCGATTGAAACTCGTGCTCACCTGAAACAAAAGAAATCAATACGTTATAAACTGAGTTAAAGGGCAAAGATCAAGTTAAGTCGATTACTTAAGATCGTTATTTCATAAAAATCCTCAGACTTTATTAGTACGTTCAGAACTTCATTATAAAAGACAAGATTTATTTATCGACGTTTATAAACTACAGTCCAACTTTTTTGTCGATATTTCCATCGCGACTCTAAAGCTCGTAAGATTCACTGCGTGCAATGTTTAAGTTGGAAATCTCTGGCTGCAGGAAGCCAAATCCAAATCCCAGACTTGTTGTAACTCAGAAACTCGAGATTGCTTGTCCCTGGGGATAACCTACCTCCAGAAATCTGTAGCTTGCCAACTTCTAAGAAGGGTTTCGAGACATAATTAATCGATGCAAGTGACGATAATCAACGGGAACCAACATATTACAGAAGATTCGATTGTTTGCGTGACAATTAAAATATATGACGCGGGCACAGCGTCTCGTATCTCCTGGCAAGCTTTAAGAAAGCTCTGACCCAGATTTCGCGGCCGTTCGCGACACCGATACACCGGAACTCTGACCAGGTCCGCGATAATGGATCGCCCTGGCGGCGGCGAGCAAGTTTTCAATTTCTTAGCCGATGGGAGACATAGAGGGGACGTGACGCGACGCGACGCGAATGCTTTCAAGCTGCAGCCGCAAGCCAGGGCCAGGCTGTGCATTACGAGATTCCCCGCGACGCAGCAATCCACGCAAGACCTTAACAAATGGATTCTCGGATGGTCCATTGTGATGCCGCGGCGCGTCGTTTCCGCTGCACGCCTCGAGAACTTCCGTTACCCCGCTTTGAAACTCGCCCTCTTTCGTTCGGATTTCGGTGAACTCGGGGAAAAAAGTATACTTGCACGGAGACACGCAAAAAGCACGAGCTTTAATTTATAGCACGCGATTGTTCGCGTTCGAGTGGCCAAACTCGACGCGAGATAAAATACGTCTAGCCATTTAAGGATCGGTTCCCTCAGCCGATCTTGTTTTCAACTAGCAAGAGAAGTTGCGACGAAGGTAATAAAAATACTGCCGCTGGAATTCCCCTTCCGATCACGTCACGAGTCGACAATTTTGTTTAACTTCGATCCATCGTACTCGATATTTGAACTTCGCAGTTCGCGTCCCCTCGAAAGTTCGCCGGACAAAAAGTTGTCACTGTAACTGTTTTCCAATAAAGAGAAAGAGTGGGAGAGGTGATTCATTTTCGCGTGCCGACTGTTAATTGGATTCGACAAGCTCGAGAATCGCGTTAATTATTCAGCCGATCCTTACGATCTTTCTTCCGGTATAAACGAATGGGATTGGATTTTTGAATCGCCAATGCAAATCCGCAGTGATTATCGAACTTTCGTTTGCGAATTCCCGGCCAATTACGATGGAAAATAATCGGAACGCCGACGCGACGAAACAACAGCTGATAGAGGATCAACAATAATGTGCAAACCAACCGCCAGCGTTAATGAGCTCGGGATTTGCCAACACCGACGGTATCGTTTATTATAAATAATTAGAGTCCTGCGAGCCGAGATGTTCCGCGAACGCATCGACCGACACGTGTGAAATAATAATTCTTCCAACTTTTCTTTTTCCTATTTCAGACGAACAAACGTATTTCCTCTAAAAATCTCTGCTTTTACTTTTAATATCGATACGAGGAGATTCTAAAGTTTCTCCTTTAAGAAGGGACAACCGTCTTGTCCTGTTATTTTCCTGATGACGGCGAAACTCGAGGAAACTTTTCAGATCAAAGAAATCACTGTCGATTCTTTGGTTTCAAGTTCCGCAGGATTCTCCGAAAAAAACAGCGTCCGAAGGGCGCGCGGCGTTCGACACTTTGTCTCGTCGAGCGAGAAAAAGTAGTCCCAGCGCGCCGTTTAAACTTTCAGACATCCTTTACGGCCACCGGAGCCTTTGCCACGCTTCCCTTTCGTTTCCCTCGGGTCATTCGGGAACACGTAATCGCGCGTTAAAAGTTCCAATCGCCCCAATATCTTGTATCTCCCAACTTTCGTCGAATTACTACAACCCTTTCGTCGGTCTCACAATATTTGATTGCAGAATACGATTTTAATTGGTAAATTGTTCTAAGATAAATCATACTTAATTGGCAATTAGGTATTTGCCATAAAACAGGAGCCTTTCTAAAGAAATCTGCTTCCAAGGCTTTCATTAAAATTCATTTGCAATCTGCATTAACACTAGAAAGACTGAAATTTAGTATATACCTATATTGCCCAAAAGCAGAGTCAAAATTACTTCCTTGGGCAATCTAGTGTTAAAAATATTGTCATAAGACTTTTTTTTCATGTTCGTCGAATTATTCGATCATAGTTTACACCGCATCTGCATAACACGCATATGTATTATGATTCTAATTCGTCTTATATTCCTTCCATTAACATGCAGTCAAATATTTGCTACGCGTAAATTTGATCGGAGTGGAACAACGAATAGCCGTAACAACAACAACGCGAGCAAATATTGCGCTGCACGTGGGAGGCCGGGAACCGGGTCGTGGAATAATAAATTGTCGAAGGGAGAGCACGGAGCTTATTAGGGACTCACCCGCGGGCGTATTGACCCGTCACAGTAACCGGAAATGATAGCACGTAGTCGCCAGCAAGAAGCCAAGCAAAGAATAGCCTCGCGACGAAAGATGCTGAATTAAGTAAAAGTGGGAAGAGACGGAGGATGTAAATTATAGTAGATAACATACTCTCGTTTAGTTAAAGAAAATTCATGTTAAGGCGTTAACATTTATGGATAAAATTCTGATTCTTTTCTGCTTAAAATATGTAAAATATTAATGAACTTTTCTATCTTATATGAAAAAATTTCTAAGTGCCTTTCTGAAAAAACAGAATTTAAATCTTGACTTCATTCAGAACAAACATTTTTGGGTATAAAATTGTTTATAAACAAAGTTCGATTTTTTATGTATTTTGTAACAAATATTAATTGAATATCAGCATGTTTTTATTAATCTCGCAAATCCTTTGCTATAGCAACGCTGCACCTGACGACCCAAAAATCTTGTTACACAAAGTCGAAAAGTGTATTTCCATAAATCCATTTCTCGGCCAATTTCGTACATAGCCGTCGTCTGGCCCGAACGAAATACAATAAGGATTTGTATTTCAGGAAGAATAACGTTTAATACATTTAAACATTTATTACGTGCACGAAAGACGATAGGATAATTGATGAATGAGACAAATAGATGCAGAGGCAATTCCGTGGGGTTGGTAAAAAATGTTATCGAGATTATAGAGTTAATATTTGCCAGTGTATCGATCGATAATGTGTACACAGGCCAATTTGCACTTTGCCGGTAAGCACACAATCGCGGTGACGCTCGAAATACCGTAAACCAGGGACAGGGTAGGAAAAATCCGAGTCGAACCGTGCGGAATTAGAACGTTGACACGATTGGATTACAGTGGCGAAGAGACAACGCGATGCAATATCTCGGAAGTATTTCAGGTTGGCCAAGAATTAACGCAAATCGATATTGTAATGGCTTATCCAAGCAGACGTTCGATAATTGCGTCTCAATTAAGGGATCCGACCTAATTTCAGACGTGGCTGGCTGCCTCCTCGAGACCCGACCGGCTTCAAGATCTTCCGGCTCGCTGCGCTCCCAGAAACGTTTATACCCCAGTTGCGGTAAATACCTTAAACGGCGATGAACTTGGAAACGATCCCTGCACGTAAACCGCGGTTTCATTACCTTCTGTCCTTCCACTAGCCACCGAGTTGATTGCGTCCGCGGAAGGAACTGCTCGTCCCCTTTCGTTACGGAATTCGTCGATACCATCCTCTCAAAAGATCATTTCGTTCCCCCATTATCCCGTCTTCAATTCATACAATTCATTCTTCCTCAATTGTTATCAATAACATAAATTCGAATTTCATTTGGCCGATGCGAAACAAAAACGTATTACTTTTAAAAACTAGTCTATTACTCCTCCGAGTAGAATCGGGAAATAAGATGAACTCTACTATACTTCTTTAGAATAGAACTTTTATTATAAAGCACAGAGTAAAAGCGGGTAATTAAGAATCCCATAATTAACAAGACTATCGACGTACTTCATAGAAGAAGAGGAGGCGAAGGAGGCGAAAGAATTAGCTGAAAGTTCTCCAGCTTTCTCAAGACCTCTCCACGAGGTCGTAGCTAGTGTACATCTTAATAAGGACTTAATTTGCAAAGTATCCTGGGTAAATCTTGCCACGGCAACGGTTCAAGAGAGCAAGACAGGGTAGAGAGAGAGAGACGGGGGGAGGGGGGGGGGGGGCTCGAAAGGAGGACAGGGATGGGCCAGCTGGTATCCACCGTCTAATTTGTATAAAATTCGCTGGCAGCTCGCGGCCGTCTCTTTTCGCCACGCGGGCCAACTTAATTTAAGTTGAAAAGTCAACCTTACGCCCGCGGACCGTACTTCAAACACATTTCCAGCCAGCGTCTGCTGCTCCCGTTATTCGTGTAATTGCGTAATCTCGCGGAAACCACCGCTACATCGATGAGCCAGTTGAAGTAATAGTAATTGCGTAGTTTGTTTTCAACGCTCGTAATAAGCTCGACAAGACTCGTTAATTTCGTGCTAATTCCGTGACGAGACAGAAAAACGACGCTACCATTTTATACTTAACTTTTAACTGAAACGAACTAGCAATAAGCATAAACAACAATCGGTGTTTCTCGGACCGCAACGTGTTTCCTATTACTTAGGACGTACGAACGCAATCCCGGTCACGTTTCAACATGTTAAGGGCGAACGAAATCGCGAAAGATAGAACCGTCCGTAAGCCTTCTTAATAAAAATTTCGAATAAATTCCGGGAGATTGCGTTTCCGTTGCTGGTTAAGGCCGCTCGCGCAACGGAATTCCTCGGCCATTATTTTCAGCACGCTGGGAGTAACAACGTTTTCTCCGGTGAGAATTCACCCCGCGGACCGTTCAATTTCCTCCTTT